TTCTCTTATGTGTGGAAACTAAAAAAAAATAAGTGAGCTGAAGGTAGCAGGGCCTATCGGAGATTAAAAGAATGAGGAGTTGGTCATGGCAGCACACGTTTGTAACCCTGGCATTTGGGAGGCTGGGAACAGGATCACTAGTTTGAGGACAGTTTGGGCTACAGAGCAACATCCTGTTTAAATAAAATTGAAAAAATAAGACAAAGTAAAGCAAAATAAAACAAAATTCAAGGCCTAGAGGCCTGGTTCAGGATCTAGAGCACCTGCTTTGCAAGTGCTAAGCCCCAAGTTCAAACCCCAATTCCACCACCGAAAAAAAGAAAAAAAAAACCATGAGGAAAAGAGGAGAGGACAGGAAACTCTATTAGGTAGGGTGGACATGATCAAGGCATAATACATGCATGTATAGAAATGTCACAGTGAAACCATTGATTTGTGTAATTAATTAATGCACACTAATAAAAAAGAGGAAAGGAACATGAAGGAGGTAAGACATGCCAATGAAGCAGAACATCTGCCATAAATGCAAATGTAAATTGTACTGTGCAGAATAACACATGATAGAAAAATGACCAAAACATGTTTAGCTCAAGATAAAACACCATTGGAGGTATGACTGGCAGACATGGGTATGAGGATGAATGTCAGTGGCCCTGCTCAGGATAAAAAGCTCCTGAAAAACAGTAACTGCCTAGCAAGTGTTAGGGCTAGATTTTAAACCCCAGGACCACAAGACAACAAGAAAAAAACAAGAATTTGAAATAGGAAACAAGATCCATGGCCTTGAATGAGGAATCAACTAAATAAAAAGTGATGGCCATAGCAAACAAGCTATGTTTCAGTGCATGAGTGATGCACTAAAACCCTCCACTGCCATTTCCTCTAATTTGAATTTTACCACAGTCTACAGTCCATTTAGTTTTCCCTAAAATCCAGAGAATGTACACTGCATTTGTCCTCAGATACTGATGTGCTGTTTTCCACAGCAATGGAAAGAAACCCTGAAAAGTCCTGACCACCATGAGCACTGCCACCCATGCATAAGGTGCTTGGCATCCTGGAGGAAAGACAGACCCATAATGCTTTTCTTCAAAATTCCTTCACTAGTCACTTATTTGAAAGTTTAAAGACTGCAAAATGGAATGAAGACTGCCAACTGAAAAGTCACAAAAGAATCTAATGACTGCCCAAGACTGAGTTATGAATCCTCAAGAGGATTAACAGGAATTTTATGCTGTTATTATTGCTTAATCTCACCACAAACATTTCATTTATTCTTTTGTGAGTATACTTTATCACGTGTAATTTAAACAGACCGTTAAATTTGAGAAAGAATATACTCATTTTGATGTTTACCTTCCTTGTAATGTGCTGTGTAGTTGGAATTAACACTGAATGGTAATAAAGAAAACAGCACATAGCTAGGCACCTGTGGCTCTTATCTGTAATCCTAGCTACTTGGGAGGCAGAGATCAGGAACACTGCAGTTTGAGACCTGCCTGAGAAAACAGTTCGAGACACTCCCCCAAAACAAATCACACCTAAAAAAGGACTTGTGGGTGACTGAAGTGGTAGATTGCCACCCTACCAAGCCTTAGGCCGAGTACAAACCCCAGTAACACGGTGGGTGGGGAGAAAGCAGCACAAGTTACAAGAGATCTGCAGGCATGGCTCAAGTAGTACAGCACTAGACCAGCCACAGCAAGGCACTGAGTTCAATTTCAGGATCACCAAAACCAAGTCCCAACACAAGATCCTCTTTAGGCAGATGTCATAGTGCATACTGGCCATCAGGAAGGAGAGCAGCTTAGAAAGTCAGGGCAAGAACACAGGAGGCAGCCAATGTCCAGACATCCTGCTTTTGGTGTAGGCTTCTGTGGTCACCTGCAGAGCTGAAGTTGTGATGTGGACATGGAGAATACATAATACAAAACTGAGAGCATAGGTAACGCTTATTCCTCATGTAACTGAGGGTTTGGAGAGAGTGGTGCAGGGAGAATGGAGCAGGTCTCATGAGCAGGTAGCAAGTATCTTGAGAGAGCAAGGAAACAAGTTTGGTCTGAGAGCTTTACTGAAGTTAATAGCGATGCTATGGTGACAATTCATTCCCACTCCAGGAGCAGAGATTTGGCTGGCCTGTTTCCTACCATCTCCATAGGAGGGAGCCCCCAGACTTTTGATCACCTTCTCCTGATGTAAGAAACAAGGGGAAGAAGGAACATTGAGGGTTAAACCCTCTGACCAAACATCAAAAAAAAGGAGTCACACACTTGCTATTTCCATTCCAACACACCAGGACATGGAAGGGGACATTCCCATCATATAAGAAAAAAGCAAAGGAATGTCAGATCAAAACCTCTTTTTGCTGGGCACCAGTGGCTCAAGCCTATAATCCTAGTACTCAGGAGACAGCGATCAGGAGGATTGGTTTGAAGTCAGCCCAGACAAATAGTTTTGAGAAACCCTATCTTGAAAATACTCATCACAAAAAAGGCTGGTGGAGTGACACAAGGTGAAGGCCTTGGGTTTAAATACCTCAAGGAAAACAAACAAACAAACACAAACTCTTTTTGCCCAGTGCCAGTGGCTCATGCCTGCAATCCTAGGCTCTCAGGAGGCAGAGATGAGGAGGATCATGGTTTGAGGCCAGCCAGGGCAAAAAGAAAAAAAAAGTGAAACCCTATCTCAAAAACACCAGACACCAAAAAAAAGGGCTCAAGTGGCAGACAGCCTGCCTAGCAAGCATGACACCCTGAGTTCAAACCTCAATAGTGCAAAAATACAAAACCATAAAAAACTCAGTTGAAGTTAAAGAAAGAAATCCAATTTATTGTCCCCAAACTAGAGACACAGGTTGACAGAGAGAAGCATGACTTACTCCTAACAGAAACCTATTAGCATAAGGATGGGAGGAAAACTAAGTGTCCCAGATGAACTTCTGAAGGCTGAAAGAGGATAAGGTTGGGAGTTAAAGCCATTACAGGGCCCAGATTTAGAGGGCCTACAAATTTGTGGGCTTTTTTTTTGGTCCTGGGGTTTGAACTCAGGGCCTCACACTTGCAAGACAGGCACTCTTACTGTTTGCCTCACTCTGCCAGCCCTTTTTTGTGATGTGTTTTTTCAAGATAAGGTCTGGAAAACTATCTGCCAGGCAGGGCTGGCTTCAAACCATGACCTTCCCTGATCTCTGCATCCTGAGTAACTAGGATTACAGATCTTAGCCACTGGCACTTGGCTCAAATTTTTGTTTTAATCCTGAAAACTGACAAAGTTCTCATAGAAAAAAAGTAAAATTAATTCTTTCTTTCAACAATGGTTTGGTGGAATGAAGCCATTGTGAAAATTCTGGGTTTTTTAAAAGTTATGTCTTAAAAAGTCTTTCCCAACATGTTAATCAACCAAAAGATTTTTAAAGACAATAGTTTGGAGACAAGAGAAAAACCATTTTGACCACCTTGAATCATTCTCCCTCAACCAGTATAAAGGATAACCAGATTTCCCAATGTACTTTATTAGACTATATATTTATTTTTTTCATGGTTCTGTGGTTTGAACTCAGAGCATGCTTGCTAGGCAGGTACTTTACCATTTGAGCCACTCTACCAGGTCTTTTCTATACTGCATATTTTTGACATAGGGTCTCACCAACTATTTGCCAAGATTGGTTTCAAACCAAAATCCTCTCGATCTCTGCCTCTTGTGTAGCTAGGATTATAGCCAAGAGTCAGGGAAGCATGGCCTATTTGGTTATTTAAATGTCTGCATATTGAGTCTGACACTGGTGGCTAATGCTTGTAATCCTAGCTACCTGGGAAGCATAGAACAGAAGGATCAAGGTCCAGATCAGCATGGGCAAAGATAAGATCCTATCTTCAAAATACCCAAGGTAAAATGGGCTGGTGGAGTGGCTTAAGTGATAGAGTCCCTGCCTAGCAAGGGTGAGGCCAGGAGTTCAAACTCTAGTACTTCTGGAAAAAAAATCTAAAAAGCCAAAGTCAGGTAAAACTCTGTGATACATAGATGGCAAAGCTATAAGAAACATCTGTAAAATCCATCCTGGGTTACCTCTGGATGAGGAACTACATGAGAACAGGCAGACACACCAGCAATGACCATGGATTCACCTGCATGGAGTCCTGTGAATGTTTACATTCATACTTAAACTTGGTATGAAACAATTTCTTATGAGAATTCTCCTTGCTGCTTCTGTTTTCTTTTTTAGGAGTTTCAACAGAATTAAAATATCTCTGAGTATCTTTTGCATGGAAGTCAGGTTCTAACACTTGCTAGGCAGGCACTGCAACACTTGAGCCACTCTCCCAGCACTTTTTTTTTTTTATTTCTTGGTTTTTCTTTTTTTGTTGCTGGAATTGAATACAGAGCCTCACACATGCTAGGCAGGTACTCTACCACAGAGCTATATCCCAGCCCAAAGAAAAACACAACCCTAAGCTCAAATGACAATACAAAATTCTTAACCTGCTTAGGTAAAGTATTGTTTAGCTACTCAAGAGGCAGAAATCAGCAGGAAAGCAGTTCCAAGTGAGACCCCCACATCAAAATACCCAACACAAAACTGAGCTGCTAGAGTCGCTGAAGTGTTAAGAGTGCCTGCCTAACCAAGGTGAGGCCCTGAGTTCAAGCCCCAGTACTGAAAAAAAATTAAAAAGAAAAGCCATCTGGGCTCTGGGGGCTCATGCCTGTAAACCTAGCTACTCACGGGGCAGAGATCAGGAGGACTGAGGTGTGAGGCCAGGCTGGGCAAATAGTTGTGAGACCCTATGTAAAAAAAACCCATAACAAAAAGGGTTAGTGCAGTGGTTCAAGGTGTAGGCCCTGTTTTCAAACCTCAGTACGCCAAAAGAAAGAAAGAAAATCCAGGTGCTGGATGTTCACACATGTAATCCTAGATACTCAGGAGGCAGAGGTTAGGAGGATCTCAGCCACACTGGGCAAACAGTTCACAAGACCCTATCTCAAAAAAAAATCACAAGAGCGGACATCTTGTGGCTGTGTCGTGCGCGTGAGCCCCGTAGGGCCGGGGAGGCACCAGCTGCCGCGCGGGGAGGAGGCCGAGGCCGCTGCTTGAGGGAGGCCCCGGCCCCTCTGCGCCTGTCTGGCAGAGACGGTGTGAGACGAAGAGACAATCCTTCCCCGCCGCCCAGATAATCAAAAGAGCATTGGCCGGACATTTGAGCACACCGAGATAGAGAGGAGCCAGGCGGAAAGCACAGACTATGGCGCTGAAACGGATTAATAAGGAACTTAGTGATTTGGCCCGTGACCCTCCAGCACAATGTTCTGCAGGTCCAGTTGGGGATGATATGTTTCACTGGCAAGCTACAATTATGGGACCTAATGACAGCCCATATCAAGGCGGTGTATTCTTTTTGACAATTCATTTTCCTACAGACTACCCCTTCAAACCACCTAAGGTTGCATTTACAACAAGAATTTATCATCCAAATATTAACAGTAATGGCAGCATTTGTCTCGATATTCTAAGATCACAGTGGTCTCCTGCTTTAACTATTTCTAAAGTTCTTTTATCCATTTGTTCACTGCTATGTGATCCAAACCCAGATGACCCCCTAGTGCCAGAGATTGCACGGATCTATAAAACAGACAGAGATAAGTACAACAGAATATCTCGGGAATGGACTCAGAAGTATGCCATGTGATGCTACCTTAAAGTCAGAATAACCTGCATTATAGCTGGAATAAACTTTAAATTACTGTTCCTTTTTTTGATTTTCTTATCCAGCTGCTCCCCTATCAGACCTCATCTTTTTTAATTTTATTTTTTGTTTACCTCCCTCCATTCATTCACATGCTCATCTGAGAAGAATTAAGTTCTTCCAGCTTTGGACAATAACTGCTTTTAGAAACTGTAAAGTAGTTACAAGAGAACAGTTGCCCAAGATTCAGAAATTTTTTAAAAAATGGAGCATGTGTATTATGTGGCCAATGTCTTCACTATTAACTTGGTTATGAGACTAAACCATTCCTCACTGCTCTAACATGCTGAAGAAATCATCTGAGGGGGAGGGAGATGGATGCTCAGTTGTCACATCAAAGGAAGCAGCGTTATTTTAGCAGCATCCCTTCTTGTTTAGGCCTTCCACTGTTAGAGTGTTGAGGTAATATGAAATACTTTATGCTCATAACTGATGTGGCTGGAGAATTGGTATTGAACTTTATAGCATCAGCAGAAACAGAAATGTGATGTATTTTATGCATTGTCAATAAAGGAATGACCTGTTCTTGTTTCACAGAGAATGGAAATTGGAAGTCAAAACACCCTTTGTATTCCAAAATAGGGTCTCAAAACATTTTGTAATTTTCATTTAAATTGTTAGGAGGCTTGGAGCTATTAGTTAATCTATCTTCCAATACACTGTTTAATATAGCACTGAATAAATGATGCAAGTTGTCAACGGATGAGTGATCAACTAATAGCTCTGCTAGTAATTGATTTATTTTTTCTTCAATAAAGTTGCATAAACCAAAAAAAAAAAATCACAAAAAGGTGGTGCCCCTATCTTGGGCTGGTTATTATTAAAAACAGGGAAGGCAATATGTGTCTGTTTAGATGCAGAAATGAGGGAAGCCTTGCAAACTGCTGAGGGGAATGTAAGCTAGTGTATTCATTCTGTAAAACACTATGGAAGCTTCTCAAAAAAAAATCAACAACAGTGGATTTACCACATCATCCAAAGGATATTAAATAAGTATGCCTAAGTATCATCTACGGACCCCTGTTAATTCAAAATAGTCAAGATACACGATCAACCTATGTTTTCAACAAAGGGTGAGTGCATTTTATATCTCTAGCTCTGTCTATATATCTACATACATCTATATCTATATCACTAGAACATCCTACATACAGGGATACTGCTAAGCCTCTAAAGAAGAAGGAAACCCTGTAATTTTTGTCAACAGAGATTAACCTAGAGAACATTATGTTCAGTGAAAGAATCCAAAAAGTAAAAAAAGATAAACAGTTCCTATTCTCAGTCAGAGGCAGAGTGTTTAAATGTTAAACAGATGCAGACAGAGTGTGGAATTGTGGTTATCATAAGGCTGAGAAGGACGTGGAATGAGAGATACTGTTAAAAGAAACAAGTTTTCAGTTAGAAGTAATTTCAAGAGATCAGTCATCATACTCAATACCACTAATAACTACACTGTATGCCAGAAAACTGCTGAGAACAGAGTCCAAGTGTCTGCACCACTGAAAATGTCAAGTATGAGAGGCAATGTGTATGTCAAATAACTTGACATAGTTATCAGAAAATACATACATACATCAAAGCATCTTGCTGTGAAACATAAAATTTATGCTTGTCAATAAAAAAAAACTTTGTGATAAAAAATAAATAAGAGATTTAAGGGCTGAGATGTGGCTTAAGTGATAGAGTGCCTGCTCAGCAAGCATGAGGCCCTAAATTCAAATCCTAGTATTGCCCAAAAAATAAAAGCAAAAAAAAAATTCTATCACCAACCTTTTCTATGAGGAGTAGTAGAACAAAGGATATGACAACAGCATGTAAGTGTTGGCTCAAGAACACAGTTATTTTTAGTGATGATGTGTGAAACTATATAATGATGAGGACCTGAAACAAAATTCAGTGGACCAGCTCAGAACACCAGGTTGAGGAGTAAATAGTCTGAATTCATCAAGTGCTAGAAATTGCATCATCACTGCTATGCATCCCACTCCATGATTTGTGAAGCATGAAGATCATTTATTTCAGGAGGGGTCACTATTATATGAGTGACACTGGACACCATAAAAAGTACTTTCTGTGAGTTGCAACAGTGGTCATCTGTAACTGAACTCAGCCATTCCCCTGCTTTCTAAAGCACCATGTGGAATTATGTTACCAGAGTTTTGTTGATTCCAACACCTGCTCATTCAAAAACTGCCAAATTTCTCAAAACAGACTTCTAACACAACAACCCATGACCCCTTGAGGGTGCAGGATTAAACAGTCCCATGCGTCAGAACATGGTGGTCCCAAAAGCCTTGTTGAAACATAATGAAGTCATAGATCCTATAGAAGAAGTAGTCCAAACATGTTTTTCACAAGTATATCTTCACCAAGTGGTAGGGTGATAGGTGCAAAGCCTCAGGCCCTGAGATCCCCAGAGTTCCTGGTTAGGACTGAAGTGAATTAGTGAAAAGACAGAGAGGCAGAGCTGCTCTGATCACAATGAAGTAAGGGTGAGTGGGGTCACTGCACTGTGACTGCATTGTTAATTCATCTATTTTGCTTCTGGCTGTGTCTTTGTCTAGCAAGCCAGTCTTTCACATGTTTTCCACAGCTTGAGGACACAGAGTGACAGTGGGAATTGTGGGGAACAAAGAGATTGACTTTTACTGCATGAGATTGAGCCTGTGGACATGATCCAGATCTGTCTTTTCATGTAGATTACACGCAGGCTTTGTATCTGTGTTGAACAGTTCCTGGCATGTTGCTCTTTCTGATTTTTGTCTTCCTACTCCTGAAGCCTTTACACACATCACTGTTGGAAAGTCAGAGGTGTTTGCAGTACTTGAGTCCAACCCTCTACAGAGATGGAGATCTCATGCTTGGTGTATTCTTACCCCTTTACTACATGAAACAGGACGCAGAAATATCCCGGCTCTCCTTTCTATTTCAACCAAAAACTGATGTGCAAGTTACAAGGTAAGGTCTAGATTGTGTGCATGTATTAAGTGTGATTAAGATTCATGTAGGTAAATGTTCTGTGGGTGTATGGGTTCATACCTCTTGAGAATTATGAAAACTGTACAGAAAAACCATACCAGTGAATTCTTACATTTTCTCCTTTACGATTCCACAATTTCTCATTTCCTTTCTTCTGTTCTTCACTCCATTTACAGACAAAGGATAGAACTCAAAATCTTTTGTGTCCCCTCCATCAACCTGATAATCATGATCAGTCACCAGGGAAATTAGAACAAATGAGTGTGATGGGACTTCTGTCTATCCTCGAATAGGAACATGGAGTGGGGCACATGGACATCCTAGACACTAGCCATAGCCCAAGGTCAGTATCAAGATCAGGAACTCACTCCAGGTTTCTACTGCACATTGATGAAGTGTGCCTGAAAGAGAAGCCATGGGTATCCAAAACCCTTACCAGGCTGTGTCTCCTAAAAGATCAATAACTGAATCCTATCACACTTGAGGCATGTCAACGCTGGTCCTGACAGTCGAAAAAAGAAAAGGAAATCATCTTTCAGAAGGCGTAAATGTTCTTCTCTTAGATCCCAATTATTAACTTTTCTAAAAAACAAAAAAAGCACAGGAACTGCATTAATTCTGAGCTTTATGAAACTGTGTGGCATGTGTCTCTAATACCTGAGTCCTCATGTTGATGCTCCATGACAGTTTACCAGCAGACAGCCCATGCTTCCCACAGGCCCCATTGGTTGTCATAGCCAAGTATGCTTCTAAAACATTCAGCAAATGAACATCCTTATGTCCTCAGAAAATGTTTAAGTGATATGCAGTTTGTTTCCATGGAGTGTCTCCATCCTTAGTGGTTCATTTTGACATTATTTAGCACTTGTCACTTCACCAGTTTGTCTATCCCTGGAGGGAGTTATTAGTGGGGCTGCTGACCCTTGAGTTAGACTTCAGCCTGGTCACCTCTCATATGTCTGAGGTCTTCTGCCTGCCCATTATCTGTGCCTTCAAATTGTTTCATTTTTAGTGTTCTTTTTCTTTGTCACTTGGTCTATCATCAGCCAAAGTCTGAAATGGGGTATTTCACGGATATTACTTCATGCATATGAATTTCTCTGTAACTTATAGCTACTTCTTGTGTTCATTCTATTAGAATTAGAGAGGCAGGCAGACATTATTAGAGCACCGAATTTTCCTCGAGTCCTGTTTAAAGAGAAGTATGTGAGCCTTCATCCCATGTCACAAAGCTAGAAACCAGATTTTGCAAACTGCCTTGTGTATTACAGTTAGAGGAGTTTCTGGCCACTCATAATCTTTATTTAATATGTCTAGGATCATCTGGAATATCAAGTCCTACAATTTTTATTCCTAAACTTTTGTAACTCTCAATATGGGAATAGAATGTCACCTTCATTGTGTAATTGTGCTCATCATACCTAATAGTGTATCATGAATGTTGTTTCCTATAAGTAATGGGCATTGTGGTGGGTGTTTTCACCCCTTCCAAGTGTCATTTTGTACCCAAATGGCAACACTTCTTTATCTGATATTGGGTATTTGGGATGTTATTAATTTTGTATGACTATAAATAACACCAAGATGATAACTATTTTAACAAAGTTTGCATTTTTCTGTGAATAAGATAATTGAAACAAAATTATTGAAAACTAGATTGCTCATTCATAAAGCTGTTGCTTCTTCTCTCTAAATACTTGCTGCAAAACCAGCATCTTTTTATTATACCATTTGCACGTTCTAGCATTTATCTCTTCATCCCCCCCAGCCCCAGTGATCACTAATTTGTTTTGCATCTCTAAGATCTGGACATTTCCTACAAGTATATTCATGTCGTTTGTGGTGTTTTATCACAGGTTTTTCCGTATTCTCAAGTTTTATCCATGCTGCAACAGATGTGTGTAGTGTACTTTTCTTATAAAATCCTAATATGTTTGTGTGCTTTGATATTAATTTACTTTTGGTTGCATAGAATAAGATAGGAAGTATTCTTTGATTTGCAATTTTCTGGACACAGTTTCTA